TTTTAAGCCGATATTTCATTGATTATATTATTTATATTTATATCATCTATACGATATTTGAATGTTTGTTTTTAGATGTTTCACTTAGCTATCTTCCAAATATCAGCTTTTTATATTAAAAAATTTTGACCAGTGATACTTCTTGGATCATCTCAGTTTAATTTATGATAAAAGTCAGTCCAACAAGCTCTACAGACTAGAGTCTGATCTAACAATCTGAGGTCTTCTGATCTCTGAGATACTTTGCATTGGCAACAATAGTTAACTCTTTTGCGAGAGTAATAGCTTTGCTATTGTTCATTTACTTCATCGGAGCAACATCCATATCTGTATCTTTGGTTATCCAACTTAATAGTGGCAAGAGGGTAATCAATACTAATATGACCATATTGATTACATTGGTGGTATTTATTCTGAAAGCAGTTTCTATAGAAATGTTCTGGTTGAGCACAGGTTTTGCAAAAGTCTCGTTTAGAAATTTGATAAAAGCAATAAGCAAAGATATGTCCATATTGATAGCAGCAACGGCATTGATTATAAGGGCAATCGGCAAAAAAGTGGGTTGTAGAGTTGTATCTTCGGCATGCTCTAGTAGAGATGCTTGTTGAGTTCTACGTCTAGTTCTGAAGGTCTGAGTAATCCATAGGTTTTCATTAGTGATTACTACAGGGTCAACAGTATAGGCTTCTTTAAAAACAAGATATTTCTGTTCAAATTGGGCTAGGTCTCTTTTATCAGTTATTGTTAGTTGAGCTGACAAGGTTGGTGTTGTTTATAGGTAGTTGGAATATAGATCTTCTTTTTATTTTACTTAATTGTATAAGCCTTATTTTTTCAATTATAACTGGCTTTAACTTTCTGTGACCAGTTATTTTCTAAGAGCAAAGAGTAAGATACAGTGTCCATGACTTCTACACAAGGAGATGGTAACTTCTTCAATTTCTACAGAAAGGTTGTCAATAATTTCTAGAGGTCTAGTAGAGGATCCCGTAGCTGATACAATTAAGCTTGTAGAGGAGGCTTCAATTTTCAACTCAAGTTCCTTGACAACTTTGTAAGAGATCATGCTAATTGTAGCTCTACTATCGATGATAGCATGATAGAGTCTGTTTTTAAGTTTGATATTATACTTAACAGAAGTAGTATAAGTTGGTATCTGTGTCTGATTAGAGATGCTAGATTCTTCTATAAAATAACTAGCTAAGGCTGTTCTGATAGATTCACTGACTAAGAATTATTCAAATTATTCGTAGATATAATCATTAGCTGTGTCTGCAGTATATACATTTCAAGGATAAGGAGTGAAGGATCAGCTTCTAGACCTATGGTTTTGGTCATAGAAAGAACAGTTGTCAGAGCGATATCTATTATGAGATTGACTTCTGTTTCTGGATCTATTTCTTTGATCATAATCTCTGTTTCTGGATCTATCTCTATTGTGAGATCTGAATCTATCATAGATCGATTATTCCTAAAGGAATACTTGTTATCTTGGCTAGAGGATCGATAATCGTGTGAGCTTCTTCTATTATCTTCACTTCGTGCACAGCAATCCTTAATAAAATGTTCTTGGTTGTCACAGTAGTAGCAGGTATTGTCTCGAGAATTATTGTTATTGTTATTATTATTATCTCGGTGAAAGGAATTGTTATTTTCAGAATAATAGACAGAAGTAGAAGGTTGTTTTTCAGCAAAATTAATATTGAGCTTGGCAATTTGTTTGGTAAGGCAGGCAATAGCTTGGTCATTTCCATTGGCATTAATATTATTTTCAGAGACCATAACTCGTCCAGTTTTCTATTTACATGCTTCTTGTATAGTATGGATTGAACCAACATGACTTCAGGGATACTATTATTAGGGTCTACTTGAAGTTGAAGTTGTTTGAAGTAACTGATATAAGTATCAACTGTGTCTGTTTCTTGTTTTATTTCAAAAAGCTGTTTTTGCCAAGTAGCTTTTTGTCTAGTTGTACTGAACTTTGCTTTAAACAGATAAGTAAAACTGTAAATACAGTTGCTATCTACCACTTGGTCATGTTGAGCATAATGATAGTGAGTAGGAGTATTGGCAAGACTAGTAAACCATTCTTGGGCGTTGTCCTTCATATATGCAGTGGCTAATTCTAGTTGTCAGGCAGGGCTCTAGTGGTTGGCTTTGGCAGCACAGTTAAATTCTTCTAATCAAGTTATAGTGTTTTGAGTTCCATCATCTTGATAGAAATCTACTTTGATAAGGAACTTTTCACCACCATATCCTAAGGCATTTGCTATATTATTTATTGCTTTAGTAGCAGCTCTAAGTGCAGTTTCGGCCATATCTTCTTCTGGTTCTGGTTCTTCGTCAGTTATGGTAAAAGTGGTCTCAGCGGCAGCAGCTTGGTTTTTAACTTCTTCTTGTTCTTCTTCTGGTATCTTAACAATAAAGTTAGGGTTTTGGTTAGAGTCTGTTAATAATGATGCAGTGAAGAGTTGTTGTTAGAGTTGAGGAGGAGTATTTAATAGATAGTATTAAGATCTAAATCAGCTTGTAGATAAGCTCCAGGGTGCAAGAGAAGGGTTAGTAGTAATAGTAGGTGTGCTAGTAGGTATAATATAGTTAATAAATTAAGCAAAGGGATAAGGTTGGGCTCGAGGAGGGTTGGTTGCAGTACGAGAAGAAGTATGAATAAATTCTAAATCGATATTAGCAAAGAGAAGATTAGGAGTATTAATTTAAAAAGAAAATTGAATTTAAATAGTGTTTTCGTCATAGTCAGGAAGAACAAAGATAGAGTGAGTAGAGATATCTGCTATTTCCTTAGATTGTAAAGGATTAACAGAATATAGGTCAGGTAAGGTTGCAAAATCGGAAGGGTTTATTTTACTTCAGGAGGTTGAAGCTACAGGTGAACCAAAATCTTCTAAAGCTTCAGTAGGGTTAGTAGTAGGATTTAATGTGGGAGAATAATCAGGGTTTTCAATATAAGGGTCAAAATCGTTGACAAAAAAATTTGGAGTAAATAAGGTACAAGTTGATGTCTAGTATAATTAGTGAAGAGAGTAGTGACTATTTGTCATGGGTTGTCAAAAGAAGTTCTATATCGACAACTAAAAATAATATCTCTAACTAGAGCTCGAGCAGAACTATAGTTAGAGTAATTTCTCAATTCAAAATGGGCTGTGACTATTATCTAGGTATAAGAAGTTGCAGCAAAGGCTTGTTAATACTACAACCAAAAATTATAGAAAGTACAATAGTATTAAGTAGCAGTAAAATACTGTCGACAAGATTCGTCAGAAGCAAGGACTTGGAGGGTATCATTTGCAAAGCTATTTTCTTGGTGTGCTAGTTTGTGTCTTCGTATATGTTCCAAATGTAATTAGTAGGCTTGATGCATATAATGCTATAA